TCACTATTATTATAGTATGCATATATAGGAATGGTATATTTAAATTACAGATAAGAGGAATTTCCAGAAAACATTTTGGCCTCCTAATTTTCATTAATCAGTTTCATTAATTTATTATTTTCATGATCTTTCTGAACATTTCATCTTATACCAAATTAAAAGAAATGATTCAATACAAATTGGAATCAATACTATTAGTTGCTCTCTTAAAAAAAAAACCTGCACCAGAATGTCAGGAATGCTACTCAAATAATATATTTTTGATTGATACGATACGGCTTGTTCTTATTACAAGTAAATATAGAAACTGGTTTGAAATTGAATTTGGAATTTCTAATTTAAATCATTATTATACTAATATAGACATTGCAGGCGCCATTCTAATAACTACATAAATATGAAACAGACAGTTGCACTAAAAATAATAAAGAAATTTCATTAAAACAAATTAGAAATCTCATTACACATTGCCTATTTATATGCCGATCAATTTATATTTAAATAGTTTTGCACACAACTTACCCAATTTTAGAGAATAAGTAAACCAAAATTGGTATGACTGGTGAGTCTTCATGTCCGTAAGTAATAACACCAATTTGAGCTAATCTCCTTCGAAAGTACCTTTAATAAAGAAGAAAATAAACAGGAAATTCGAATTATTTATCTAATATATATATTTATAATAGTATACCTAGTATTTCTTGCTAACTGGTTGATTCGTCTTTGACCTTCGTCGGTTCCATCTAAACCCATTATTATTTCCATTACACTTATTATTTGTTGTGCAACAGGAGGTGACATTGTAGCAGCATAGCACTGTGCATGACTATGAACTCTCAGATAATTTATTAGCTTCTAAAAATGATTGAATATTTAATAGATTTAGAAAGAATGTATTTAAATTATTATTATTGCAGTAAATCCTACTTTAGAGCCTGCTATGTATCCACCAGCACTTCCAAAACTTTTGGTAAATGTACCCATCAGTATATCAACATCATTTGGATCAACCCCATAATAATCAACAACACCACGACCATGAGATCCCATTGCGCCTAAATTGTATAAAAAATATAATATTTTAGCTGCTTACATCTGAATAAACTTTGAAGTAGCAATATTTATACAAATTTCACAATATTCTGATCCATAAATCAACATTTCATATCTACAGCATGTGTGATATGTTACAACACTTTTCAATAAAAGTGTCAAATATGTTGTGACCGATAAAGTATTTGGTAAAAATAAGACTATTCTATTTTTAACTTTCAACTTTTACTGATTATTGTATGTCTTCATTAATTAAGATTCTTTTCTATTTGTATGTACATTTCAACAGTTGACACATATTTAGTGTATATATATATATATGATTTAGATGTTTTTGTTCAACGTTGATACATATTCTTGAAATGTTAATTTGCAGCAAATCATCAAAGTAAATGTACAATAAATAATGTTACTTTATTTTTATCTTATCCATTTATTCATAAATTTACTTTATCTTTATGCATTTTGTATGTTTCGACACAGTATGTATGTTATCATTGAACAAAATTTTTTTTCATAATACACAATATCAAACCAGGAAAAACGCTCATGAAAAATTAAACTAACATTAATTTCAAAATACAAAACATAACATGAATAAAGTAAAAAAAATTATAAAATTAAACAGAGAATTATGTAGTCTCCCTACATGATAACTTATATATGTATATACGTATATAACGCTACATGATAACAACATATATAAGTTGCTATCATGCAGTGAGACTACATAACCTTCTGTTTTAACTTTTGAGAATAACATTTTAAGAATACGTTTTAATATTGAATAAAAAATCTAAAGATAATGTATATTTTGATAAATTATCACCTATGCTATGTGCTTCATCCAAATATAAATATGCTTTAAAACGCTTCTTTAATGCAATTAGCTCTGGCAATTTAACTATTGAGCCTTCCATGCTAAATATTCCTTCAACCACAATCATAATTTTCTTCCATGGCTTTCCAGTCTTGGCTGTCCTTTTACAATGGCAGTTTCTAGTACTTTTTCCAAATGTTTCATATCTGAATAACAATAATCAAATTTAAAAATTGAAATGGAAACTCAAAAACTTAAAAAAATTCAATAATATACTAACTATTATGCCGAAAAACTTTTGTAGTGGCACCTGACAATCTTAAACCTAATATAATACTGGCATGATTCTTTTCATCACTAATAACCAGGCACCCGGGACTTAAAAGAGACGGTAAATTTAGAGAATTTGTTGCAAAACCCATTCCAAAAACAATAGCATCTTCAACACCCAGAAACTCTGCAGTTAACTTTTCTAAACGAATGTGAAGTGGATTTGTTCCTAAAAATATAATTAAGGTTTTCTATGATGTTAAACATTAAAAACACAATCATTTCAAATTCTTTCAAAATGCAAATTACCAAGTTCATGTCGCGTACTGCATAATGAAAGCCCATAATCACGGATGGATTTTTCAACTGCATCAGCACATTTGCCTTTATTTTCTGCAAAGCCTAAGTAATTATATGAACCCAAATTTAGGCATTTAGTTTCCGTGCCTGTAAATCTGAATAATTAAAAAATATTAAGTAATTGTAAACTTTATTAAATATATTATGATATTAATAAAATATTGTTTTTTGAATATAAAAAATAATAATTGAATTATTGAAGGATTAATAAAAACTTATTTATAATGAAAATGCTACATATTTATAATAAATATAATCATGCTAAGTTTTAATTTCATGAAAAGGTAATAACTGTATATTTAAAAATGTGGTGAAATGATGGTTTTGAAGTATTTCAGAATCTTATTTTAAATTTAAAATTTTCCCTTACTCAAAGCTCCAACCATAATCCTTAGTTATTCTATCTTTAAGAGTTACTTCTGCTCCAGGGACACTGCATATAGGTCGATTCCAACAATCTCGAATTCTACGATATACATATCTCAAATAAAATTTGTCAAAACTGTCATATAAAGGTGCATAGCCCTGAAATTAAGTAAATTGTAATTAAAGTAATATACAAAATGAATATATTTTTTATTTAGATATATATAAAAAACAGCAACATTAAGATGATAATTTAGCTTTTTCTTTATATTATTTATATTTTATTAAAATAATATAATTAAACTTAAATTTGTAGTATTCGATTTAAAAATAATAAACATAACAAACATATTATAGCATAAAGATATTATTTGCTCGTATAAAATATTTTAAGATTTTGACAGTTAAGTTTAATTAAGTATAGAATAAATAATTAAAAAAATATTACTTATACTTATTATTTCTAAATTAACATATTGACTACTGTGTAGTCGTGGTTACCTTTCGATTTTTTTCAGTGGCTACTTTGGGAGTAAAAAATAATTGATTTAAAAATCCTAATATCATCAATAAATAGAATCCTAGATAAGTGAGACATGCTGTATGCAAGGGGACGTGTTCAAATGATTCTTTAAGTCGATGAGGATCATTGTAATCAAATTTTTTATGCTGTGCTGTATGCTAAAGAGAAAAATTGTTACAATTACAATAATTATAATGAATTAAAATATATCTGAAATAAAATAGTATTACCTTAATATGGCCATTGGATATGCGTTTAACATCCTCATTTGAAAATCCATTTGCTCGGTGGCTCTTAAAACTGGTTTTACTAATAAAACTTTTTATATCATTTATTGCATGGCTTTTTATATTTATTCCACCATTTAGACGCTCACGATCTGCCATCTTCACAATTCTTTAAAAAATCTTGCCAGTTTTGAGTTCAAATTATAATTTTAAATCAGTAGGTGATTTTGCAAGGATTTTCTGGAATCTTGACTTTTATCGGTAATCTATAAATTCCACCATAGTAGTTAAAACACAAAAAAGAATCATTTTTCACATATATGTTGAATTAATATTATTCATTGCACACATTATATTAGAAAATTTTGGAATAATTACAAAACGTCAGTAGCTTTGAGGTTAATCGCTTTCTCAAGGAGTAGCCGCATTACAGTATTGAATTCAAGGTTATGAAATCTGTTAACGCAGGCTTATTTTTGGCAATACTATCAGGCACTCGCATTCCTACATGCTACCGAAATAAAGTTATTGCTTTGTTTTCTGCATTTCTATATCGTTTGAAGTTTTATTTAAAATGTAAAGAGATATACATAAAATGAATTTATATTCGCTATTTAAAACATTCAATTTAAAATTAAAATCAAATATTATGCAAAGTACAGATATAATGGCGTGTAAAATATAAAAGCTAACATATTCAATTATGTTTTATAATATGTATTTAATATATTATACATGTAAGAGTTTGTGTATGAAATTATGATTATTCCTCTTATTCCCTCTTACTCATCTCTTTCTGCGATCGCAGACGGAAGAGAACAGGAGGTGAGTCATGGTTTGCGCATATAAAATTGACTATGTAAATATTGTGGATATAATTCATTCGCAAAATTGAATCCACGATTTTTAAAATACTAAAAAAGTTTTGAAGCTTATTAGAATATTTAATATACAATGTGTAATAACATATATTCTGAAATAACTCCATATTTCAGCTTTCAATTTTGACCAATATAAAATATTGGTTTATAACTTGCGATCATAGATAAGAGTTTGCTTGCGATATTGAATAATGATGATTAGTATCTTATCATTATTATTATTTTAAAAGTTTCTTGTTTATAGTTCCCAATTTGCAAATAAAGATTGTATAAGTGCAGTAGGTTTTAACTGAATTATTGAATTTTCATTATTTTTTTTTGAAAACATATCATTATCATCTAAAATGATTTATTACCATATATAAACTATTGTGACTTCGTCCAAGATTGTGGTTAAAAACATATTGTAATTAAAGAAGTATTGTGAATCCATAACATCGTACATAGTCAAGACTGTTAATTCATAAAGTGAGTCTGACATACAATTCCTCCAACATTGAAACGCCAAACCTTTTGCCGCACGGAACGTCATACAAGGGATTAACGGTAGCTCGGTGGTGCTCTTTTGTTTCGTTGTGTTTTATGTCTTTATGTGACAAATTATAAGTGTTAATAAAATATAAAATTGTAAAAATTTATAGTGTAAAATCTACAAAAACAATTCTTGTGCAATATGGAAAATTACGACTTACCTCCGTCAGGCGTACCGAAGGGAGAAAATGCAAATGTCATTTCTAACCCCGTCGAAAGCCACTCCCCGATTCGTCGCGAATTAGATTCAGTGGATGATTTTGAACATCTCGATCACGAAGCTATTTCAATTCAAAACCAAGCAGGTGACAACGAAGGCCAATTATTAGATTTTCTTAAATCTGACATACCACAACAACCACCAAAAACACAAAATTTCGGGCTAATGGACGATTTACATTCATTTCAAGGTGATACTCATGATAAGTTTACTTCTAGTGCACAGAAAGATCCCTTTTTCTCTGGCCTGGATGCGTTCACTGGGGGCGGTAATGGTGGTCATGTGTCAAATGTCATAGATTCTACTAAATCTTTCATGGATTTTGAAAGGCAACCATTAGCACCAACGTCGAAAGAATCAGATTTCAAAGATACAAAATCACCCGATTATGGCTTCGACGAACCTCCCCCAGCTACAAAATTCGACGATGACGATGACGACGACGATGATGAATTTCAGTTTAAAGACTTCTCGAAGAAAAAGGATGATTTCGGAGAAAGCAAACCTGTGCTAGATGAATTCAAGGATTTTTCGGGCACCGATATGTCCTTCGCTCAATCTACGTTTAGCGATGCAATCGCAGAACCAAAGCAGCCTAAACCAGTTTTTGAAGAATCTAAAACACAAATTCTGGAACCTAAACCCGTTGAGAAACCTGTAGAACCTGCGCCTGCTATATTAGAACCTGAAATTAAATTGAATCCATTGCGTGAGCCTTCGCCAGAACCTATCCGCGAGCCTTCCCCTGAGCCCGTTCGCAAGCCTTCGCCGGAACCAATTCGCGAACCCACACCAGAGCCTCCGCGCGAGCCTACACCGGAACCTTTGCCTAAACCTACACCTGAACCACAGGTGTTCAAAAAGCAAGAAGTTTCTACAAAACCGAAAACTGAACCTGAATTGCCGGTAACGAACGATAAAGTTTTAACTAAACCAATTCCAAAGAAAGAAGAACGTGAAGTCATCGCCGCCGAGGCAATGTTCTGTCAGATGGGACTCGGTGAGTCATATTTAATTATATCTTTTATCTCATTATATTATTATATCAGTTGTTTCACAGATTTTTCGAGGATATTTCACGCAATTGCGTTTGCATGCATTTTAGTTTTACTTTAAAAGTCTTATTATAGCAATAAAGTAAAATTCATCTAATCCAGAAAAAAGTTACATTTATTTGTAAAGTAACATCTGGTTTAACCACCAGAATAATATTCGGCAGTGTGCTTGAATGCAAAATATTATCTGATTGGTTTGGCATTTCGAATAGTATATTCTTATACAAATTTCTTATATGAAGAAATTTTTCTAACAAGAATCCCTTTTTGTACATTAGAAATATTATTCTTTTCATAGAATATTCAAATATATGCATACATTACTTTTTCAAATCTACGAGAATACTTCTAAAATTTTAGTGTAACATTTTCAAGTGGACATCGTTGTTTTTGAGAAATCTATAATTAAATTTAACTATGTGTCATATTCGCATGAATAAGCGAGGCATATAATTAACATAGTTATGTGAATTTCACATTTACACAAACTTATTATTGGCATGATTTTTATTTCTAAAAAATATTGAATATTTGTGATTTATATAGCAAACTATATATAGTCAGTAATTAGTACTAAATGGATCTATAGATTCCAAAATTCCGCGATAACATTATTTTGCTGCATTTATAGTAATGTTAAACTATGATAACTATTGTTAAATATGATAAGAAATTGTTTATTAAATCAAATGCAGCGTCTCAAGGAATGTCTAACTGATCACAATTTTATCGTATCTTATTCAGTAATTTATTATAATATTAGCATCTTGATGTTCTATTTTCACAGGAGATACAGGGTGTTCCAGAACTTAACGTCAAGTCGAAACAGGGTGATAGTATTGATAATAACTATCATGAAAACAATTCTCAAGTATTTTGAAAATTGTGAGCTTTTAAGTGCAACCTAGGGCTTTGATAAAAATGTGACCATTAATCGGGTATTGTGGTTAATTTTTATTGATTTTGTTTATTTAATCTTTGAATCGATATATGTAAATAAAATTTTGTGTACCTCGATCAAAAATAATTGGTTCAAGTTTTTAAAAATTAAAACTAATTTAAAAAATTGAGGAGAGGCTTTTGTTTAAAGAAAATGAACCAAAGTGTGTCGCCAATTTTCATAAAAAATGACGCATTTAATCAGTATTATACAATAGTAAGATAGTTTCATTAATTTGATAGTTTCATAAAAAATAAAAACCTGAAAATACCGATTACAGATCAAAAGATTAAATGAACGAAAATGATAAAAATCAGCCACAATAACTGAAAAATGGTCACCATTTCATAAAAGCGTAGGTTGCTTGAAAGCTCACAATTTTCAAACTAGGGGGGCGTCGATTAATCACGTGAGCTAGTTTTTAAGGATTTTTGGACCCTCTCTCCCCCTTGGTGATACGGGGTGATATTCAAAATTACCCCCCCTTTCCCACCAAACATCACGTGTATTTTTAGTTACGAAACAAAATTGTAAATTTTTTAATTTTTTTTAAATGTTTGGATTTTTTTTTTAAAAAAAATCAGGTAAAAAATAAATACACGTGATATCTTAATATAATATACCCCTCCCTCCCCCACATGATATCTTAATATACCCCTCCTTCCCCCATGTGATATTTTGTGATTTTTTGTCAAACCCCTGCTTCCCCTAAAAACCTAACGTGATTAATGGACGCCACCTAGGCGAGACAAAATTTTCTTCTATTTTTTCATGATAGTTATAGCCAATGCTGTAGCCGTTTTGGTTTGACGTTGAGTTGTGGGACACCCTGTACATTACTCAAATGTTATTCCAAATTCCATCATGATAACTTACTTTTTACCACATGGGTAACTGTTATCATTATTATACAAAGACTGAAATAAGTGGGCTTGTACTGAGTTTGCTACGATAGCTATTTAATTAATTACGTTAATAGCGTAATTAATGATACTCTACAATAATCCCAAAGAAGAACAAAACTGATAACTCCCAGAAGCACTTACGAATGTATAAGTGTGGAGTCTGTAGCAGTGTAATTATTTATATTTTTTATTATTAGAAAAATACTGAAACAGATGCGCAATAAGATAAAACAGACAATATAATATATTGAAAAATGATTTAATATGCGGTCATGGATACATCTTCTAATAACAGTAGTACCAGTAGTATCATATAAAAACTTGAACAAACTATCTACACGTAGTGAATTGTATTTAATTTTTTTTTTTTAAAAAATCCGCTGTCGGAGGCGGATGTAGAACCTGGAACTTCTGATTCGAAGTCCATAGCCCTATAAGCCACCACGGCGGAACACATAAGGGAAACTTGTGGCAACATATTACTGCAATTTTGTTCTGAATGTACAATAATAATAGATTTTTTTTCTTTTTTTGTTAGAACAGCAATCAGAACTCTTATATGTTTTATAATCTGTTTGTTTATTAAGGACTTATGACTACTTATGAATAATTCTATAAGAAAGTGTCTTAACAAACTATCTGCCTTTTGTTAAAAAGTATTAGATTTACAACTCTTCACAAAAAAGTGGCTATGAATCTCAACGCTTAGAAAATTCTGTATAACGCTTTCAATATGCAGACAATATTCAAATTGGAGATGTCCAGAATATTAAAACAAAAAACACTTTGTTTACTTTTTAGTAAAGATTATTCGCTAAATTCTAAATACTAAATTACTTTTTCAATTTGCCCCTTCGGTAAGCTACATACAGTAATTGCTAAGAAAGGAAAAAAATATGTATATGAGTGTTTGTATGTATGGATACATATTTTTATCGACGTTTTCGGTAGCACGATCATCTGATTTGAATTATTCAAAAAGCATTCGATATCTATTCATGGGGAGATGTGCTGATTAACTTTTGGGAAAGGAAGGTCAAGCCGTTTATGAGACATAGAGCAAAAAAAGCGAAATATAGCTATTCAGTTTGTGAGAGAACCGAGCATCCGATTAGATTAATTCAAAACACATTCGATCCGTATTGGTGGCGATATGCACTGATTATGTATGTGATTATATTATTTTATATATATTTTGACTAAGACAGATCTTAAAATTTTGGGGATAATGAGTAAACAATGCAAAAAAGACAGTTTTCAGAAAACGGAGCATCTCATTTGAATGATTCAAAATTTTTTTTCTTAAGTTGATGGAATTAAGAATTACATTCTTGCAAAGGGTGGTCTAGCGGCTTTGGACAGGGGCCGTTCAAGTATTACGTAAGCAGATTTTTACAATTATTTACCCCCCCCACCCCCTTGTCATCAAAAGTAAGCAAAGCTCTTACCCCCTCCCCCCATGCTTACGTAAACATTTTGCAATTAATGTCATACAAAAATAAAATATATAAAAAAAAAATGTTGTTGGTGGAAGTTCATAATGGTCGAATTTAACCTTTAAAAATTATTGTTATTGATTCCTATACGAATAGAGTTATTGGAAAATAGCAGACAGGTAAACAGGTAGACAGAACGACAGGTAAACAGGGTAGCAAAGTAGAAAAGTTGGCAGGCAGGAAAGTAGACAGGAATACAGGTGTAGAGGTAGATAGGTAGACAGGTGGAGAGATATAAAAGTAGACATGCAGTTAAATGAATCATATGATCATATGATTATGTATTTAGCAGAAATCAGAACTTAACGAGTCCTTTGGTACTCTTGAACGACATGGCCCTTTATAGATGACAACCTAACCGATTGCCCTATTCTTATGTGATGAATTTATTATTAGATCTAATGTAATACCAATGAATTGTTTATTGATGCAGCAACTCTGGTTTGGGGTTAATTTCATTTAAAAACATATGCTTGACATCAGGCTATGCGATGCGGGTGTATAACCTGGAACATCTGATTCGAAGTCCATAGTCCTAACAACCAAGCCACCAAGGTGGAACACATGAAGGAAAACTTGCGGCAACATATTACTGCAATTTTGTTCTGAATGTACAATAATAATAGATTTTTTTTTTCTTAGAACAGCAATCAGAACTCTGTTCTATAATCTGTTTGTTTGTTAAGGACGTATGACTACTTACGTATTTCATGAGAGGCAATCCATCGATTAACCATTTTCTTATGTGTGGGGTATTTTTCATATTAGCTCTTACGTCTAATAGTTAACATATGATTGGATGTAGCAGCTATGTCGACGAAGGACGATTTCCACTTGGAATTATATTGTGATCTATAACCCCAAGTGAAAATTTGACATCAAAGCTGCCTGATGTCGGGCTACGGCGGTAGCGGGAATCGAACCAGCGAACCCGGGACTAGTTGCTGCTGGCCCAATAATAAAAGATAAGAATTCATAAATTTACAGGAACGTTATTTCTAAAATGTAAGACCATGACTTACAATTAGGACACGTCAGTAAACTGTATTTTCTAACTTCCTAAGTAATTGAACTCAAGTGGTATGAAACCAAGGAATGATTTCTGCTTCGATTATTGAGCATGGAATAGTTGAGTTGTTTCTCGGACTCCGAATTAATTAGCAAAGGTCCGCTAATACAAAGTAATTTACACATTTGCATAACCTGGATCTGTTCGACACGCATCAATAGCATCACGCACGCTGACTAATTGACACGCTATGCACTTTGAAAAGTAATTCTTTTTTAATTATGCTATTGTATTTGTGTTATTACAAATTCTATACAGGAGTTCTTCAATCGTGGTAAGGCAAAGGAATATTCGACACTCATTTTAAATATGTCTACTTTCATAAATTTCTCAAGTTAATTTGTTTTAAATACTGTCGGATGAAAGATAGGTGTAGCATAAAATTGTGCTAGACCACAAACCGTGTTTAAAATTCAATTAAAAATAATTCGTTTCGAACAAGTTACAATATTAAGATTGTGGATATTCTAATAACTTTTTCTGCATTCTATGCAGTTTTATAAAACTGCCGAGAGTAGATAGAAATATATTTTGT